ATGTGTAATGTAATTATACATGTGCATGTAGTTGTCTTGACATTTGTTTATGTATATGTATATGTAGTTGTAAAAGCACATGTGTTCGTTTATGTGTATGCATATGCGTATGTACATGTTTGTGTGTAGGTAGGTGTATGTGTGTATGTGTATGTGTATGTGTGTATGTCTGTGTATGCGTATGTATACATGCATGCATGTATGTGTATATCTATATATATATGTGTATACATGTATGTATGTATGTATGTATGTATGTATGTATGTATGTATGTATGTATGTATGTATGTATATATATGTATGTATATATACAGACTATGCATATGTGTGTATGTGCGCAGTCCCCCTCAGCACCCATTTTTTGTTCATTTTGCGTCGGTCTTTGAGCTCGTCATGCGTGCTCTTACTGAGCATCCGCCTTCTTTTTAATTCGTGCCTTCTTAACCGACTTTCCTATTCGTCATTTCCTCGCAGTTTCTCGTGCTTGAGCCTCCGGGAAAAAAGCTCGATTTGGGATCTGCTCCATTCTTATTAGATTGTACTTCGTTTGCATGAGGAGTCACTTGGACACAGCTGGATCTGGGATGTGCCCAAATCCATCTACAGTCGAATCAAAATCCAACGTGAATCCAATTGGAATTCGCCGGATCTGGGCCCTCTCCACAAAAGGGTACCTACGATTCCAAAACGTGCCTCCCAACATCATGCCAAGAAGTTTCCGGAAACATGGATTGCCCACCCAAGAGGTAGCGAGATATTCAAAATCGCCCCAGAAGTGTCGCTTAATTTTGTTTTTCCAGCGGGCCGAATGGAATGCTCACAGGCTGAGCCCTTCCAGAAGGTTCTCAGTATGATCTCTGCGCCGGCCACCTGTGCAAACCCCAGTATTGTTCAGGCAAGGGTTTTCAACCTCGAAATGGCTCCACTGGCTCCAAGATGTCTCCAAGACGGATCATGAGTTTCCAAGAGACCTCCAAGTTCGCACAAGATGCTTCCGAGACGGCGTCACGACGGACCAATACGACCTCAATGCGGCTCGATGCCCCCATCATTGATTTTCTTTGGTTGTTTGAGAATTCTCGCATTCTCGCCCTGTGGGGCTTCGGACGGCCCCAGACTCCTTGGAGCCCCCAAGAAGGCCCCGAGACGGGCCAAGTGGGCCCCACACAAGTGTTCGTGTGTGTGTGTGTGCCTGTGTTTGAGGCAGATGGCTAACTTTCTCACTCCACGGAACTCAACAATTAGTTTCGCCCCGCCTTGCACTCACACCTTTGGGCGACCGACCAGACAAGTGTGCGCCAAGCGCATGCCTGCCCTCCGCAGTCCAGGGCAAATGGCTTCGTTCCGCCCTGCGCGCGCGGCGTACACCCTTGGGCGACCCACCAGACAAGTCTGCGCCAAGCTGATGGCTACAGTTAACCCGCATATTTAGTAAGGATGAGCGACTGTTCAAGGTTACCCTTGCATCCTTCCCCTTCGGCCCATTCTTGGCCGCTTTCGCTGGCCGCGCCCCGCCCGCAAAGTGTCGGCCTGGCCTTCCAAGGCCCTTGCATCCTTATCGTAAGTCCTTCTGGTACGGGTTGACGGTACTATTCTCGGCCCATGGCAGCAGATCTTTTCGCTCAGCTTGCGCCCACAGCCCTTGGCGACCGCCCCTGCAGCGGCCCCGTGATGACCCAAGACGCCATGGGCACCAAGCTGGCTAGAACTTGGGCGCGCGCGCGGAGCTCGCGCGAAGGCTCTGGCATATATGATCCCGGGCTCCAGACACACGCCCCCCCCCAGATGGGATGGGTCTCAGGGTCCCTCAGGCCCCCTCCCCTCCCCACGATGGGAGGGGGTGGGGGACGACCACGACGACGAGGACGTCGACGAGGACGACGACGACGAGGACGAGGACGACGACGACGACGACGCCGATGACGACGCCGATGCCGATGCGGATGCCGATGCCGATGCCGATGCCGATGCCGATGCCGACGCTGATGTCGTCGTCGTCCTCCTCCTCCTCCTCCTCCTCCTCCTCCTCCTCACACCACCGCACGCCCACATGGGGAAGACCCCACCACGCCACGCCCACGGGGGGGGGGCCGTCGCGCGGGAGGGAGGGGAGGGCCCAATGGCATCAGAATGGGGGGGGAGGGGCCGGACCCTGAATCAGATATTCCCCAAGGAGTGCCCGCATTTGGGGGCTCTTGCTTGTGTACCCTTGCGTATCTGAGGGATCGGATGGGTGCCCCGAGGATTCGCCGCTTTCCGGCCTGTTTCGCCCGTCGCCGCCTGTGGGGCTGTCCCCGGGACTCGCCACCTTCCGGCCAGTCGCCGCCCGTGGCCGCGCTTGCTCTGTTGTCCAGAGGAGTCGCCACGTCCCGGCCCGGTGCCCGCCGCCGCCGCCGGATTCGCCACGCTCCGGCCAGTTGCCGCCCGTTGTCCCACGTTGCCGCCTGGGAAGGTATGCTCGGGCCGGGCGAAAGGGGGGGTTTGGGAAAGGGGGCGTTACGCAATCTGCTGCATGCAGCTGGTTTCGGCCCCACCCAGGGGCCCATTCCTCGATACATAGCCGCCTCCGGCGCCGGGAGGCGCCGGGAAAATCAGCTGCGTGAGCTGATTCTCACCCCCCCCCTTTGCCATCCCCCCCTTTCGCCCGACCCGAGAAGGTATGCCGAGGAGTCACCCTCTTCCCGCCCGTTGCCGCCTGCGGGGCTATTCTGACGGTTCGCCACGGTGCCGCCCCGTGGTCGCCCGTGGGGGTATGCCGAGGATTCGCCTCGTTGCCGCCTAGTGCCGCCTCGGTGCTAACCATTACACCACATGGCCTACACTTCGAAGGTGCGATAATTCATGGTTGGGGATCCGTGTATATCTATGTATGTGTTTATACATGTATGTATGTATATGTATATATATATATAGAGGTGTATATATATGTTATAAGTATAGATTGATGTGTGTATATATGTGAATCTATAGATGTCCTCCTCCTTTCCCTCGTCTCCCTCCTCCCCCACCTCAGCATCATCTCTTCTACGCATGCTTCCTCCCCATCCCCTTGGGATCCCCTGGAAGTGCCAGCCCCTACGACCCTCCACCCCTGTGCCGGCTCTCTCCTGATCCTCCTCCTCCTCCTCCTCCTCCTCTTCCCTCCTCCTCTCCCTTCCGTCTCCCTTCCAAATCCTCTGTACCGAAATCCCCTTCATCGATGCTCCCCTCTGCAAGGTCTCACAGCAAGGCGGCGGGAGTCGCGTCACTCACCCTGGGAAGCGCGCTGGGCGGCGAGGTGAGCGAGGCTGCAGAGGAGGAGTAGGAGGATGAGGAGGAGAGGGAGACTATGAAGGAGAAGTACAGAGTGGGGAGTGAGGAGGGAGGAAGGGCAGTGGAGGAGGAGGAGGAGGAGGAGGAGGAGGGAGGGGACTGAGGTTGGGAGGGAGGAACTGAGGGCGGCAGGAGGTTGTTGACGTAAAGCGCGCCTTCAGCATGACATTGGCACGAAATTATGTTCTTGCGGAAATCTGGTAGTCTCTTCAAGTGCAGGGAGGCCAGATATCATGTTGAATATTTCCTCGCTTCGCTCATTCCGCCGGCCCGTATTGTGCCATCGCAGGCGTTTGCCTGCGCGTTCGTGGCGTCTTGGGGCCTCTTTGGGGCTCTTTTTGGGCCTCTTTTTGGGCTTCTTGGGGGCCTCGTGGGGCCTCTGGGTGGCCTCCTGGTCTCTGTTGGGGGCCTCTTGGGGCCTCCTGGGGGCCTCTTGGGGCGGAAGGCTCGAATTTATGGTTCGTGTTCCCTCTCTTGGGCCCCTCTTGGGCGATCATCTCTGGGGCAGTTTTGGGGGCCCTCTTGTACCGTCTTGGAGGCCTATGGGGCCGTCTTGGGGCGGTCTTGGGGGCCTCTGGGGCCATCTTGGAGCGTCGGAAGCCCGATAACGCGAGAAATCGAAAAAACATAGAAACACAACAAAAACGAAATACATGAATTGCTGCTTCGTTTGGCCCTCTTTGGGGTCCTGTTGGAGAGCTCTTGGGGCTTCTTTTGGGCCTCCGTCTTGGAGCGCTCTTGGGCCGTGATTCCGATTCGTGGGCCCTTTTGGAGCTGCCATGAGGTTCCGTGGCCCGCTCTTGGAGCGATCTGGAGGGCCCCGAAAACCGCTCCAGCCTGGAACTTGAGAGGAATTTGCAGGGACCTTGCCGGGAGTCGGCTGGGTTATTTATCGTCTGGGGACCCCCAGGGGCTGCCTTGCGCGCGAACTAGAATATACGTATATTCTGTGAGCGAGTTACTGCTCCTGGAGATCTTAGCAGGCCTCTGGCCCGTTGGGCTGGCGAATGTACACGGGGAGACGAGAGGGGATGGAGGAGCAGGAGGAGGAGGAGGAGGAGGAGGAGGAGGAGGAGGAGGAGCAGGAGGAGGAGGAGGAAGAGGAGGAGGAGGAGGAGGAGGAGGAGGAGGAGGAGGAGGAGGAGGAGGAGGAGGAGGAGGAGGAGGAGGGGAGGAGGAGCAGGAGGAGGAGGAGGAAGAGGAGGAGGAAGAGGAGGAGGAGGAGGAGGAGGAGGAGGAGGAGGAGGAGGAGGAGAGGATGGATGTAGCGGTTCGCTCAGGGGATCATCGGATTTGCCAGGGGGGGTTGGCGTCAGATTAACAGCCTGGCGCTCGGTTAGGGTCAAACGCTCCGGGTCAGTTGCTGGCGAGGCGGCGTCAGGCGAGGCACCCCGACTTCAGGCGAGGGGGGCAGCCCTTCGCCATGTCCCGCGCTCATCTTGATGCCCAGCCTCCAGCAGGCGCCAATCTCGGAACCAACTCCAGCGCCTACGTCGGCACCGACCGCAGCACTGACGGCCGCGGCGAAGTCGGCACCGACGCCGGCGCGGACGTCGGCACTGGCCGCAGCACCAGCACAGTCTTGCCCGACGGGGTGTCTCTCTGGTGCAAACACTTGCGACTACTGGGTCCAGGCCTACGGCTACACCTGCGATAATTTGGCCTCCTTTGGGTGCGACTGTGGTGG